AACTGACATTAGAAGGGAGTTGGCAGCTTGCCCCTGTTAACTCGGGAGAGCCTGCATTTAAACTGTGGCCCGAAAAATTCAGCCAGCATGCATCTGCACCACGGTAGGTGTAGATATTCCTGGATCGACTAAATTCAGTAAACTCTTCCCTTTGGTTTTATATAAAAACTTCATTTGTTGCATGAGACCCAGAAAAATACAGCGTAGGTTTAATAACCACATGAAACGTTGGTCGAATTAGTGGCTTAGACCCCTACCTTCTATTTAACTCGTTCTCTGTGATCTCGTCAGTAATAATAAAAGTAATAATAGTAATTTGTTCTTATATTCTTTCATTCTTTAGTTTGAAGAGGAACTTTTTGAAACACTTGACGAATTTGAGAAATTAATCCAAGATGAGATAAAAGCCTTGTTACTCATGCTGCAATAGACCAAGTTCTCCCCATTACTGTAAAAGACACACACACATTCTTTTATTTATTATTTAAAATTAAAAATTTTTTTTTTATTTTGGGGGGAAAGGTAATTAGGTCTATTTATTTACTTTTAAAGGAGGTACTGGGGATTGAACCCAGGACCTCATGCATGTTAGGCATGCGCTCTACCACTGAGCTATACCCTCCCCCACTTCTTTTTAATTAAACCATTGCTCTCTCTAGTTATACGTTTTGTGGTTTTCTTTTAAATCAAAATATAGTTGATTTACAAGGTTGTGTTAATTTCTGGTGTACAGCATAGTGATTCAGTTATACATATATGTATATATTCTTTTTCAGATTCATTTTCATTATAGGTTATTACAAGATGTTGAATGTAGTTCCCTGGGCTATACATTAGGACCTTGTTGTTTATTTTATACATAGTAGTTTATATCTGCTAATCCCAATCTTCTAATTTATCCCTCCCCCAACCCTTTCCCCTTCGCTAACCATGTTTGTTTTCTATGTCTGTGAGTCTGTTTCCATTTTAAAAGTAAATGAGTTCATTCATATCATATTTTAGATTCCACATATAAGTGATAGCATATGGTATTTATCTTTCTGTGTCTGTCTTACTTCACTTGGTATGATAATCTCTAGGTCCATCCATGTTGCTGCATGTGGCATTATTTCATTCTTTTTTATGGCTGAGTAATATTTCATTATTTATATATACCACATCTTTTTTATCCATTCATCTGTCAATGAACATTTAGGTTGCTTCCATGTGGGGTTTTTTTTAATGTCAATATTCCTTGAAAGATTGAAAAAGGAAGCCCAAGCAAAGAACTGTACTCATTAGAAGGTCCCTAGGATTCTGACCGGGAGTGGGGTGGGGGAGGGGGGAATGGAGGCTCATGAAGGAGAGTAGAGGCGAGTGATGTGTGGAGGGGAAGTGGAGGCACCTTTCAAATAGTGCCCTGATTCCAGGCTGAGGTTAACATTATTCTCACGCAAGAAAAGAAGAGTTTTGGGAGGTTTTGAGCAGAGCCTTTTGACTCCAGGAAAGCCTCCAGGCAGTGCATGTAGGGCAGATAAAGAGGGCCCAGTGGGCATGTTATGGTGGTACTTCGGTGGCCACAGGAATGGAGAGAAAGTGATGAGACAGGAGACCCTTGGCCAGAAAGCTTTTGAATATGCATTTTTGGTACCTCCTGGAGTCCTCAATAACATGTCTTGCACTCTACACACTGTTCTAGCAATGAGTGCCTATGTATTGCTCCTTTTAGATTACTGCTTCTGAAGATTTTAACAGTATTTGATTACCTTGTCCCATTTTGTAGCTTCCTTAAAGAAAACTTAGTTACTACTATCAGGGACACTAAATAATCCAACTTTCCTTTGCATATTTTCAGGTGGAATCCTGATGTATGAGAAAGTGCCCATGGTGGAAATGGATGGGATGAATTTGGTAGAAACCAGAGCCATCCTAAGATACATCGCTGCGAAATACGACTTGTACGGGAGGAGCCCGAAGGAACAAGCCTGGTATATAGGTCGCTTCTCACTTAGAAGAAAATTAAAAATAGAAAAGAAAAATTAACCTTTAGGCTTGTTAGCAGACATGTGTAGTTCCTGAGAGATTTACAGAACATTCTTGTCTTGCTTTCTAACTTTTTCTTATGGAAAAATCTAACACATATCAAAGGAGAGAGAATAGTATAATAAACCCCACGGACACAACTTTTACCTTCAACAATTGTCAACTCGTGGCCAACTATACAGTTTCTTTCATTTTCTGATTCTACATTTAGGGTCAAGCCATTAGCCGACAGGCACAGAGCAAGCACAGAAACTGATAAAGGAGTCTGCTGCTCTCTGTGAATCTGCGTTTGCCTCCACTAGGTGGGAGCAGTGCTGAGTAAATCACAAGAACAAATGCAATCAGGGGGCAGGGAGTGTCCAATATGTGACACTGATTCTGGATGTGACCTTTGGGAACCACCTCATTAGATACCCAATTCCGCCTCCCAGGCGTTTATTAATTCGCTTCTGCACACACCCTTCCTTTTGCAATGGGCCGACCTGGAGACAAACCAGCAAAACTAGCCTGGTCTTACCTGGAGTTTAAAACAGCAACCCTCCCTAAATTGTAAATTAAGGCACAGAAGTAGAAAACTCTTAGTTGGTAAACAACAAATAGTCGATGCTTTACTAACCCAGGTGGGTTTTAAATAAATTTCGTGTTGTCTTATTTCAAAAATGCATTTATTTTTGAAAGCTTAAATTTAAAAATTCTCATGCAGTAAACATTTTTAAATTGATCTGGTATTTTTCAATCTCAGTATAAGCTTTCCCTTGCTTTCTAGAAGATTCTACCTGCCAGATTTCTGCTGACTGCATCCCTGCAGTGGCGTTAAACACATTCCTTTGGCTCTCTTTTTTCTGTAAACTGGTTGTTGGGTTTAAAGATTTTTTATCAGACTCAAGTTCTCGTGGTTTCTGTAAGACTGCTTGTGTCACAGGTGTTGGTACAACCCCCAATTAGGAAGCTCACAATGTCTGCTTGTCTATCTTTTATGACCTTAGTAGCCAGTGGGGTTCAGTGCCATCATTCCTTCTGCATTTATTACCTAGAGTACTTCTATAAATAAAAATGTCCCTGTATCTGCTCTCTGGTTATCTGGAGTGCAGTTTCCTTTACGAAAAACATGCTAGCCCTCTGTTTACCAGTTTTCCAAATAATAAGTGGGCTCACCAGCATCCTCCAACATCGACCAATTAATTGTTGTCTTAGTATCACTGTGAATTCATTCAGGTAAACGTCACTGATATGTTTCAATTCACTTTTATCGCTGTTCTGACTTATGCTCAGGTTGTCCTACCTTTGGTCAGTGGAAGCCACATGGCTGCTGGGCATGTTGACCTTCCCCTCTGGTCTCTGACCGCTTCCTCCTCATCTGGTGTAATGGGATGACCCAGATTAACCCTGTGACTCTCCCTGCTCTTGACACGGACCCAGTCATTTCTCTAAGGTGCTACGGTTCCTTTCAATGCAAAATGTTTTTTTTTAAAGTACCTGTTTCACAGAACTCATGTTTATAGATTGAAAACAAGTGAATAAATTTGTAGGCTGCCTTCCTTGGTATACTGTTATGACAAAACCTTGCACATGTGAGACACTCCATTTTAAAACTCCTTCAGTGTCATAATCACAAATGCGCAGAATGCTCCTCCTTTGGTGACTTCCTGCCGCAGGCACTCTCTCACCGTCCAATGGGGCAGCCCGGCCAGCCAGGTGACACTCTGTCTCTTACACGTTCTTCACTGGTAACAGCTGGCACCTGGGTTGGGAGCGCTGGACCAGCCAGGCCTGCCCAGGCAACTCGCTCTCTCTACCTGACATCCCTGTGTGGCTAGCTTGGCTTCCTCACAGCACAAGGTTCTCAGTGTGGTCCGACATCGCACCTGCGGCTGGCTTGCCTTAGACAAAGGCAGAAGAAAGAGGACCAGGTGGCAGCTGTCAGGCTTCTAATGACCTCACCTTGGAGGCTCAGAACATGATTGCCCCACGCTGGTCTATTAGTCAATCAAGTCTCCAAGACCCACTGAGGTTCAACAGGAGAATGAGGCTTACTCTCAGGGCAGGAGAAGCAAAGACTTTCAGGCCATCTTCAAAGATGCCCATGGCTATTCCAGGTTCAAGCTAAAGGAACTGTGGTGCAAAAAGGTAAGAGGCTCACCTTGGATGAGGACAGAGGTTTCCCAGTGACAGACCAGTGGTGTTTTCACTACGCTATGGCGTCTTGTCAAACACAACACCCATCCTTCTATTCATTCTGCACAGAGGTGTAGGGGGTGGCAAGTGGGAACTTGTGGAGTAAGTTCTGTGCCTTATTAAATTGAGCAGTTTGAGAACCTTCAATCCAGGTGGAGACGTCAGCAGTACAGAGGTCCTCAGTGACCTCTTCCCCAGGATGTGCCAGCATGGATAATCTCACTGTCATTACAACATTTAAATAGCCAAATAGGATCTTTGCCTAATTCATTATTTGAGGACTTTTTTACATTTTATTTTTTATTGAGGTATAGTTGATATAAAATGTTATTTTCGGGGGTAACAGCAAAGCAATTCAGTTCCACATATACATACATAGGTATTTTTTCTTTTCAGATTCTTTTCGATTATACGTTATTATGAGAAATTGAATACAGTCCCCTGTGCTGTACGGTAGGTCCTGGTTGTTTATCTGTTCTTCACATAGTAAAGTGTACCAGTTCGTCATTTTTTAGGGATTATTTTAACCCTGTCTGTGCTTGTGTTATTTAGCATTAGTTTCACATACTCAATGTAATCACGCGCATACTTTACTCCTATAATTTTCCTCCCTCTCAGATGGATCTCAGCATCTCAAAGGAGCAGCATGCAGGTAGAAACACTGGGTTTTAACTCCTGGAATGTGGAGACACCTGATACCCAGGCAGGTGAAGCCGAGGCATTATTTCACACATCCCTTTGGCTCATGAAATGAGAGTTTCCTTTGTCTGCAACGCTTGACTCACCACCCCTTCCTTCTCCAGGATCGACATGTATGCAGAAGGCTTGAAGGACCTCAGTGACATGGCCATGTTCCTCCCGCTCTCCCTGCCCAGGGAGAAGGAGATGAACCTTGAATACATCCTTGAAAGAGCCACAACAAGGTTCTTCCCCATCTATGAGAAGGTGAGCTGCAGACTTCTGCCCTGCTCTGTGACTTGGATCAGGGCGGGGAGGAGGGGAGGAGGACTAAACGAAAAATAAAGAATTTTACTGGTGGATGAAAGATTCCCCAAACACTTCATGAAAGCAAAATTCCTCCCCCAATGGCAGTTATAAAACGAATCTGCCCTCCACTCTCCCATCCCGCTTTCTGGGTTTTATTTGTGTAAGGATGTCCTGCATAACTTCAGCATTCTTTGTGGTTCTGCTGCCCACAGAATTTCAGTTACCTGACTGAGTATTCTGGAGTAAAACAGGGCCTTATAAAGAGAATTCTAGAGAGAAAAACCAAAAACCACACTAATTAGACAGTCAGGGGTGGGGGAAGGATGGATTTTATTTCTAAAATACACAGGATGGTACCAGGGCTCAGGGCACTTTATAAGGTTTTGCAGAATTCTATGCCATATTCTAAAAGTTAAGGGGAAAAATTGTTCCAAAAAATAACACCTGCTTTTCATCTGTCTCTGCATTTTTAACAGCTGAAAAATAATGTTTCAAAAAGCTCACGCTTTAAGCAAATACTTAGTGCCATCTCTAACACAAGGGTTGGATGATTGTCAACGCTCTTGCCATTATCATATCAGTCATCAGTAGGAAAAGATCATGAAGAATGTTCGCATTTGGTTAAAAAAAAAAAAAAAAAGAACCAGACGAGTTTTTCCAAGCCACTTGCAATGCCGGTTTATTCCATCCTTTCTGGATTGAGTTGTACCAGTTCCAACTGAATGATTTGGTACATCCATTTAAATATATTTATCACAGTTAACCCTTGTATAGCCTAGTCAAGTGATGGAGATTATTTACTTGATGCTTCTGTCTTTGACTTATGTACCAACTCCCCAGATACTCTAAGTTTCTAGGTTGTCCCTGTCCCTTAATGACATTTAGTGAGTTTTCAGTCCCCTTGGTCCAAGATGGAAGATGGATCAGACTGAAGATTTTACCTCAGGCTTTCTCCGTAGCATTCCTTCAAAAGTATTCAAGATAATATAACCCTTTGCAATTAGTATATAATTTACGAGATTTCTATCTTATAATTTTACCAAGAGTGGCAATGGAATGGATGTTTGGCACCACCGTTCCCAATGACTATGGGATACCGTGAAAAACAAAGACTGCACGTGGCTGAAAGCAGTGACAGTACCATCCTCACTGACAGCTCTGCTAATCATATTGATGGCTCATCCCCTACTGCGTGCTCATCACACACGTCACCAGTGTGGGATGCCATCTAATCTTCATGGTAACTCCACGAAAGATGTGGCTCTGTTACCCACAGAACTTAACAGCAGCGAAGTAATGTGCCCAGCGTCATACAGCTGAGAACACGGGAGCCTGCGCTCACGCCTCTAACTCCCCATCCCGCACCCCAGTGTCCCAGTATCACAGAGCTCTAGGGCTCGAACAGCGAATCCTCAGTGACCTCCTACTCCAATCATCTGTGTTCAGCAGAGTTTGACTCAAAGTGACCCATAAGCCCTAGTTGACGGAAATTTGCTTGTAGAAATGAGGTGTGGATCCTGGGGAGAGGGAGCCGCACACCTGAGGCTCCCGCCCCGGGATGCCGGGAGGAGCCCCGGTCCAGGTGGCGGTGGTAAAATTGTTCCATAAAGGCTCGTGGAGAAGGCACAGGAGAAGGAGCTGCTTCCAGTGTTCAGAATCCTCAGGGGGATCTAAGCTCTCCTGCCTCTTTCAGATGAACACACTGAGGTCCTCGGAGAGAAGCGGGACTTATCTGAACTCACACAGTGAGCTGGGGGCAAAGATCGGGAACCAGGTCTCTGAATTCTTAGAGGCCTTTCTGCCAAACCACGTTGACTTTAACTTGGAGGACCCCAAATCCTCATCTTTCGTTTTCGACTATCCGCAGGCGCTAAGAGACCACGGGCAAGATTTTCTGGTGGGTGATCAGCTGAACTGGGTGGATGTACAGCTCCTTGAAGTCATCTTAATGGCTGAAGAGTGGAAACCCAATGTCCTCTCAGGCTTCCCTCTGCTGCAGGTAATGCTCTCCAAACAGCTCCCAAGAAGGAGAAGGGATTTTTAATCATTCATTTATAATCTTTCCTTAAGTCATTCATTATTCTTTAAGAACCTACTAACTTCTTTATGCCTGTGCTAGGGGTGCCAAGATGCCCTCAAGGAACATGCCTAGTAGGGAGACAAGCATACAGACAGATAACCTCAACATAATGGAGTCAATGAAACAGTAAAAGGATGTGGGAAAGCAGAGGAGGTTCACCCGGGCCAGGTTTCTTGCAGGAATTGAATTTCGAAGGCTTTGTCTGGAATGTAGCAGACCCACAGTACAAGCGGCTTCCTTCTTCTTGTCAAGGTGAAGGGACAACACTTAAGCCCCTCCGAACAGAGCCACTGCGTACCCATACCCATAACCACGGACTATGCTATTGTTACCTGCCAAGCCTTGTACCAGCACTGCACACACTTTACCCCATTTATTTTATTCCATCCTCAGAGTAGATAGGAGACAAGACTCAGAGAGGTTAACTAACTTTCCTGAGGTCGCCCTGTTAGTAGGTGGCAGGAGTGGGACTCAAACCTCGGTCTGCCTGACCTCACCTCCTGAGTTCTCGAACACTGTGCTGTGTTGTGGATTCCTTTATAACCTTTTAAAAATATGCTGATTTAAAATAGCTGTAATCTAAGTCATGATAACTCTGCAGCCTCACTTTTCCACTTCGTGTTGCATTACACACAAGCACGTTTTGGTATTGTTATTTAGTTTGGCTCATTTTTAGACAATGAAGTGTGTTGTTATTTTTACATTTTTCATCATTATATAATACTCTATTCATTGTGCTCAGGATAACTTTAAATAGTGATGAAATCATAAACAACCTAAATAGTCAATACCTGAGAAATGTCTAGAATTTTATGCAGCCACTTGAAGTTATGTTTTTCAGAGATTACATGACATGAAAAATGCTTATAACATGAGAAAAATGAGGATTTTGGTTTATTAGCAATACATCAGGATACTCTGGAATATCTGCTTCTGTAAATAATGTCACAACAGCATCTTCATGGATATGAATTTTTCCACATTCAAGATTATATTAGGATACAGTCTTACAAATGGGCTCTTGTGGTTTGAGCCTATTAGCATTTTTGTGTTCCTTGAGAAATATTGCTAGCTTGTGTTCTGCCAGGCATCACTTTGCAATGCCACACAATGTGTAAAAATTCCATTTTTATCCCCCATTTCTACCGGCAATGAGAAATGTACATTTTCAACATTTTTTCTCATATACAAAAATGGGTCCCGTTTATCTTTTGTTTATTTTGCCATAATCTCTTCTCATGGACAGTATACGTTTGCATTTTAGGAATTTAAGGCCAGAATCAGCTCCATTCCCACAATTAACAAATTTCTGCAGCCTGGAAGCCAGAGGAAACCTCCATTAGATGAAGACTCCACTGAGGTCATGAAGAATATATTCAAATTTGAACATGGCATGTTTCTTAAAAACATGGGTACAATAATAGCTGAGTATTAACAAATGAAGTGGTCTAAAGAACTCAGGAAATACTTCACTTTACATTTGCAGCACTGCCCAGAAAAGAAATCACAAGGCCATTTTAATAAAGTAATAAAAAGCATAAGGAAATAAAACTGCCTAATACTTATCAGTGCATCAGACAGTGCTGCTTCTGTTTTCCATAAAACAGGAAAACACCAAGTAATCAGAATCATCCAAATGAAAATTCTTCTGCATTCTACTTACTGCCAAAGAGTAAAATCATAAGTAAACCAACAGATACCAAAGATTTCTTTTAAAGCAAATAAACCAAAGGAACAACCACACTTGTATCAACCATCACCCACTTCCACCTCCTCTGGAAAAGTCCAGGACACAGCATAGCTTTAAACTAGCTTCTTAAACTGCCAATCACTATAGAGTCTTTTACAGATAGAATCAATTTCACATTTCTTGGCATCATAGGTAGTCTGAGCACCAACTGCTGTCCATCCAAATCAGAAGGTCCTTCCGCATGTGCACAGAGACTCCAATAACCACTGTGTCCCCAGTCTTGCTTGTGTAACAACCTGTTTGGCACCATTACAATTAGCAGGATTTTTTTTTTAAAGCAGGATATTTAAAAGTATATCAAAAGATTCTCTCTGGGTTTCTGATTTGGTTAAACGAATAGGTCTTTTTTTTTATTCTCCCCTTAACTGAATCATCACTGAAAATTTAACAACCTCCTTGAAGGTCAGTTGGGAAAGGTAACTGAACACAACCTTATCAACTCTGCTGTTATCAGTGGAGACTCTACCCAGCATGTTTTGGGAAGAATGGTTTGAAATCTTGACACCATGGTGCAAGTGGAGCCAACAGGACCAGAATTGCAGACGTTTAGCGCTTTAAGGAGTCTGGTCGATCATTTAGTCCAAATTCCTTCTCTAGGAGGAGAAAATGAGTCCCAGAGATGGGACATGACCTTGCAAAGGGCAGAGAGCAGTCGGTGGGAGAACTGGGCTGGGGGGACTCACCTATAGGCAAGTACCCTGGACGTAAATTGATAACCATGCCTGGAAAGAAGCAGTGGTTGGAGACAAAATCACTTTCATCTCAGGATTATTACTGTTTCAGAGACAGAATATGTGCTCCTGAGGAAGAGTTCTGGCTCCAATAACCCTCTTTACCAATCTCCTTCATTAATAATTGAGCACTTAAAAGTTAAAAATGATTTGAGTCCATAGAGAAGAGACCAAAATGAGAGAAACACGTTTAAAACAGAATGCTTTTATTTGAATACTGAAGACATTCTGTTAGTACACAGTTTGTTGAGGATGAAGTTTTTGTTTATTTATTTTTTTTAATTGAGGTATAGTCAGTTTATAATGTCGTGTCAATTTCTGGTATACAGCACAATGTCATACATGGATACACATATATTCATTTTCATATTCTTTTTCACTGTAAACTACTACAAGATATTGAATATATTTCCCTGTACTATACAGTATAAACTTGTTTATCTATTTTATATATACCTGTCAGTATCTGCAAATCTCAAACTCCCAATTTATCCCTTCCCACTCCTCTCCCGTCTGGCAACCACAAGTCTGTATGCTATGTCGGTGAGTCTGTTTCTGTTTTATATATAAGTTCATTTGTCCTTTTTATTTTTTTTAAGTTTTTTTAAAGGAAAAAAACCACTGGCAGTAATACAATTAAAATGGAAAAAATATAATTTTGAATAAAACACAAATGACAAATAGATACATTAGCATTTGTGAAGCCCACTTAGGGCGTTCCATCATCTGATAAGTTGTAGTTTAATTTAAACTTACTTCAGACATGATTTTGTAACAATCAAAAAAGACCACATATATATAATATAAACTAGACATAGCGAATGAAAGAGTGTATCATGATGTATTAAATATCTTTAACAAAACCAGTACCTGACAATTAGAAAACAGTTGAACTATTTATTTAAAAAAAAAATCCCTCAAACTCATGTCTGTATTACAGGTGACAGTTTCTTTTGCAGTTTCTAACAAGATAAGACCATACTGAACATTCCATATTGAAATGTATCTTTTCAATACAAAGAGTAGGCTCTGCCCGTTACAGTGAATGACATGATCTTAAGTTTTCAGTTCCTCTGGATCCTCAGAGCAGCAGTAAGACAAGTCTCAGGATCATCATGAGGCTGGATGAAAGGGAAAGACAGGGAGAGGGAGGGTGAGTCTCAGACAGAAGGGTACAGATGGGCTGTGCGCCCACCCAACCCGAGTGCTTCTCAACCCCAGCCTTCTGTCCTGCCTCTCTCCCTGGAGCAGGGGTGCTCTCACCATCCTTGTACCCCAACTTCCCAGACCTGACGGAAGGAGACACTTAAAAACGTTCAGTGAATGAAGGAGAAAAATCAGAACTCACTGTTTTGAAAATCTAGGCTGGACTTTGATAAGAGAAAGGTTTGGAAAGAAACACAAAACTTTCAAAAGCTAGTAAAGGCAAGCAACTTGAAAAAAAACGAATCAACGCGCGATTTGGGGATGTCGTCATTATAATCTGCACGTCTTCTTGAACTGTAAACCCTACTTCTGAGTCTTTTTACCAATAAGTACCATTTTTAGAACAGGGCTATTAATTAGAAAGCAATCTTTATTTTTTTCCCCCAACCCTTTACCTTTTATTATTATTTTTCTTGACTTACTATGTAAGGATCTCCAGAACAACACAGAACAGAAATGACGAAAACAGGCATGTGTATACTGAACCTCTCCCTACAGAGCACCCTGTTAAAGTTTCATTATTAGATATGAGATTTCTGTGGGTTTCCTGGAATGTCCTTTATTGGGCCAAGAAAGTGCCTTCTGGATTTTTCTTTTTTGTTGTTGTTGGGTTTTTTGTTTGTTTTTTCCATGGATATATGTTCTTTTTTTTCTATATAAAAAATTTTTATTGAGTTATAGTCATTTTACAATGTTGTGTTATAGTTTTTCTCTTTTTACTGAAATATAATCAGTTTACAATATTGCGTCAGTTTCTGGTGAACAGCATAATGTTTCAGTCATGATACACATGCATATATGAAAGCAGTCCTTTATAATCACACTTGCCCTTCCAAATCATAAACATTCCACACAGCCACACTAGAAAATTCAGGGAAAATTAGAAAGGAGAAAACTCCCCATTGCGTTACTGTCTAGAAAGTGTAACAATTTGAAGCATTTCTTTCTTAGGTTGTTTTTTTATACACCAGCTTTTTAAAACTTGAGATCACACTATGGTTTCTTATTCTGTTTTCCTTTCCTATCATGTCACTAATATTTTTCAATGCCACTAAATAGTTTTTGAAAACATGACATGTAATAACTCGCTCAATATTCCATTAAGTGAACAAAACACTGATTGAAACACTTCCTGACTGGTGAATTTTTAAGCTGTTTTCTAATTTTTTCAGGTCATCAAGTTTTCCACTAGAAATAAAGTAGCAATAAATATCAGTCTTTGTATGCATCTCATTCTTTTGGAATAAATTCCACAAAGTGAAAACGTACATCAAAGGACATGAACTTATATATACGTTTCAACATGTAAAGGTAGCTTCCAGGAAGAACTAAAAATGTTAAGCGTAACTTTTTACTTGCTAGTGTGCCTCATCTCCGGGATAGAATTACTGGGATCAAATTGAGAAAAACCTGAAGCTCCCTATTTACGTTCTTAAAAAATATTAAGTTTTCTCCCTTAGAAACTCAAAATCACTGCAACAGACTGTCACTCTGTCCAACTCTCTAAGTAAGACTGAATGTCAGATTTAAATGAATACATTTACTATCTCAGATGGATAAATCTTGAGGAAAAACTGAGGCTGAATTTAGTTCTTTATTCTGAAAATGGTAAGTGTGTACATGTGATCAGATACTAGAGTTACCATAAGGGTATTTGATAAAAACGTGCATGTGCACATAAAGACACACAACTGACAGAATATATGATATTTTAAGGTTTTTTATAATCATGCTGATTGTAATAAAAACTACTTTGACCTTTCAAATTAAAACTGATGTTTGCTAAAAACTCAGTACTTCAAAATGATGGCAAAGTATATAGCTCAAAACAGGTTTTCTTACCTTAAACCTGCAACCAGCCCAGCTGGCATTATTTTCTTGGACCTCTTAAACCTCACCCCCATTATGGTGGCCAGGAAGAAAGCTGTAACTAAAAACCAAACCAGTGCGTGAGCCAGAGTTTCAAACATGTTATCAATGCTTGCTTGTGAAAAAAAAAAAAATTGGGGGGAGGAAGGCAAAAAAAAAAAGGCAATAAAAGAGAAAAGATCATCATTTTGGCTTTCTAATATAACTACTCTTTATTACATATAGGTATTGAGTTGCTGTTTTCTTGAAAAAATAAAGTGCCCTATTAAAACACTTTTATAAACCAGTTTATCAAAAAGGTTTCTGAGTAAACTAGCATGTTGAAATTCATCCCTGAAACGTCTTCAAAAGACAAAGTCTTTTTCTGACTTAAATTTCTATTTTTAGGACACTCCTGGAGGGTCAGGATGGTGTCTTATCCAGGTTTCCTCAGGAACACTCAGCAGTACACCTGGACCCACAGGAGCCATCCCCTAAATGGCTAGTTAATAGAACGTTAGGAAAAGAATTCGTTTCTAAAATAAATCTTTAAAGTAAGACCTCATTAATAAAACAATACTAGGAAAAGGCTGGCCATTTGTATTTTGTAGCATTCCATTTCAGGAAATTTGATGCCTGGAGACTAAAAAAAAACAGTCTAATAATAATATTAAATTCAGAGGCATCATCCCAGCCTTTTACGAGCTGAACCAAGAGATGGGCAGTTTCACATAAGAGATCAGGGCACTGATGTCACAATTTAAGAACAACTTGCAAGGAAAAACCACTTGCTGATATTAAAAAAACATGACTGACAATAAACGTATGTTAATTATTTAAGTGCATCTGAATAAGAAACCCAATATATCTATACCTTGCTGATATATTTTTATCTTCTGACATAATTTCATTATTAAAAATATTCCCTAGCTCCTGTTTAAAATAAGAAAAAAATTACACTTAATCTTTTTCTTTCCCTTAAATATTGAACAATTACAATGTCTTCCTTTGTATTTTCTTCCACCTCACCACTTCCCCCGCCAGGCACTTTGAATAATCGTCAAATTAAACAGAGACCATTTCCTTGCTGTAGTTTCCCCAGCCTCCACTGTATCTCTTTCAACCTAGAAAGAAGAAAGCCAAGCACCCTGGGGCTTTAAACACACACAGGTTTTTTTCCATCTTTCCTGTGAACATGCTCCTACTAAACCCAGCAAGGGATGAAGCCAAAAAAGGATCAGCCTTGCTTCTCTGGATTAAAGATTAAAGCAAAGCTGGATCTAAAAGCCATTCTTGAATTAAATAAGAGAACGCAAGGCTGTCTCTTCTTAGGAATTTTCACAGTCACACAAACTATGCTAATATGCATTTAGAAGCGTTAGCAGAAAACCTTGGCATAATTCCTTGCTTTTTCTAATTTTATTTCATTTCTCCAGTAACAAATTTTATAGCAGTATTCTTCTGAGTTGGAAGGCCTGGTAGCAACATTGTTATTTTTGATGGTGTCTGTGTAGAAAGGAACAAGGATGGTGTTCAGTCCCCACCCACGCAGTGGCCGCCCACCACCTGACCAGTATTTTCTAGGACCTCTAGGAAAGGTATCAAAAGCTACCCCCAAGCTTCGATTCTCCATAACTGGGTAAACGCCTTACTCACACAGCGACACTTTTACATCTCGCTTGTCATTGGAGACCCGGTAAGCTCCATAGCCAGCCAGAAATCCAACAAAAAGACCACCAATCAGAGATGGAACACCACCTGGGAAAAAAACGTACAGACTCAGAGAGAGAAAGAGAAAATCCCCGAATGAAGGCAATTCCTTCATCACGTCAAGGATGATAAACGCATTTCTCCTCGAGCTCTGTAACTGGACCAGGCCAAGTCAGATGTTGGCTATTCACGGATCGTTTCCGAGAAATGGCTGTTCCATGCTGAACCCCAAACTGGAGGCAGAGGAGCCCCGAGCACACAGCGATGTGAGGCCTAGGCCCGACGACGGGGCACAGAAAGCCGCCCTGCAGTAGTGCGTCCGACGGGGACCGCGTGATTTTGAACAATTAACTTGACTTCTGAACGTCTCTCTTTTTTCCCTCCTATTCTCCTAGTCTCCATATTTTTACTCTCAGGTTGCGATGATAAAAATAAGACGAAATGGTATTTTTAGCTCATGGAGGTAGAAGACCTGTGCAAAGCAAGCAATGGTTCTGTCCTGAATGATTCACAAACCTTCCGGCCCCAGCACGTCAGGGCTCGGGGATGAACCGTGACTACACTGAGTAACAGGGAGAACCCGGGCACTGGCGCAGCCGGCCGGCCGCGCATCCATCCCCTCCCCAGCCGGTGCCCTCCCACTGCCCCGGCCCTGGGCAACGCGACACCGTGACCAACACGCGCCATCCTTGCTTCAGGGCTCTCACTCTACTTAGAATCTACCGCAATGGAATCCCCAGGGTCAAGGCATCTCTTTCTTAAATATCTACAGGAAATTCAGATTCTAACAGGGTTAAAAACCATTGCAGGCAGACACACACACATACTCCCTTTTTCCTATCCCTCAAGAAACTGCTAAAGGACATAATCTGATAATCTATAGACCTGAAACGCAAGTCCCCCCCATGTCATAGATATCAAACACTCTTTGAAATTAACTTAATTTATGAATTTCTTAAAAATGTAAGAAATAAGAAAAATATAAGAAACAGGAGACACCATGACTATAAATGCCTTTACCTTAAAACAAAGCAATATATAAAAATTTCCTTTTTCTCCATGAAAATCCTTTAATTTACCAACTATTTTTTCCCCCATCTTTGGACAGAGATGAAGGGACTACTTCAGATATGATATCTAAGTATTTAATGAATTTTCCTGTGCAACAGACAACATCAACACAAGTCAGTTTTTTGACACTATGAGGATGTAAACAAACAAACAAGAATCCTCATTTGATAATAAGGGAGTAGCCCTGAGGAGATTAAGTCAATTATTTATGCAACTGATACTGACAGATGAAGGGTGACAGACCCCGAGGTTGGAATGTTCTGTCCACCCAGCCCCACAAAACCCCCTCCTTCGACTTCCACCATGTGCTGGTCCTCAGCCACCCCCAGGACTTGGTCAGCTTCCTGCCCTACTTATAAGCCCTCAGATGATCCTGACACCACCGCCAAGCTCCCCAGGTTTCTTTGATGAAAAATCTGTCTTGGGCTTACCTCTCCGCTTATATCCCAAAATGCTTCCGAACGTCACCAGGGCTGCATAACCAAAACCAACCAGGTCCATTGTCAAGGTTCGATTCTAAAGCAAGGGGTGGGGGGAAATGTTTTACAAAATACAAAGAGCTTGGGGGAGCAAATCTGTATTACAATGATGTGCATGCCACAGAATTATAGAAACTAATTTCTCCTCCTGGGGGAGGGCAGGAGTCAACCAAGTGAGGAAGGTGGCAAGGAAGGGTGTGTTCTAGGCAGAATGGAGACATGTGCAAAGGCCTGGTGGCACGAGAGAGCATGGCATGGTTTCCAAATGCAGAGAAGGGCAAGGGGTGTGAAGAAAGGGGGCTGGGGAAGAAAGGCCAGACCACCCATGGAAGCCTGGAAAGGGCATTTGGTTTCCATCCTGAAGGCAGTGAGAGGTGAATGAAGGGGCCTCACAGTCAGATTTAATCCAGCAAGCTCCTTCTGGCTGCAGGAGTGGGAGGTGGGTTGAAGTGGCCAGGAGAGAAGCTGCGAGCCTGATGCAGTAAACCGAGCGAGAGATGATGGGGGCCTGGCCTGGCAAAATGCCCAGGAGAGTGGAGAGAGGAAGACAGATGTGAGAGAGGTCAGGAGGTAGAATCAGTAAGCACGGATGTGGGGAGGGAGGGGGAGGGCTGAGTCTCTGGCTCTGACCACTAGGAGGGGCGGCGAGAGGAGAGGCTTGATGCTATTCCCTCAGACAGGGGCACTAGGACAGCAGCCAGTGTGTGGTGGAGGGAGGTGGGGGTGGCCAGGAATGATGGGGCCTGTCTGTTTTATGAGGGGGAGGTAATTAGGTTTCTTCACTGATTTCCGCTTGGAGGCAGTACTGAGGATTGAACCCAGGACCTCTTGGGTGCTGAGCATGCACTCTGGGCCTGTCTGAAACATACTCAGTCTTCAGTCTAAAATGCCCAACAGTCAGAAAAACAGCCTCACATGCAGATGTGATGCACGCAAGAACAATCACTCATCATCAGGTAGTAATTTTCTCCTTAAGCCAATCAACTGGTATGAAAGGCTGGTTGTTCCTCCTCTGAGCCGCCCAGTTCTTCCTCTGACCCTCTCTTGGGGCCCCATCTCTTCTACCTGATGGAATTACTTACATTGAGCTTATCTTTCCTCTGGGCCAGTCAAGCTCCTTGAGGGCTAAGCTCAGGTTCAATTCATCTTCATCTTCCTCACAGCACCAAGCTCACTGCCCTGCACAAGGCAGGGGCTTAGCAACTACTTGCTGAATGAATGAGTGAATGACTAAGTGAACCACAGGGATAACTTTGGTCTGAAGACACTGTAACTGACCTACCCTGGATATAGCTCATTTGCCAGGAAAAAGCCAGTCCCTTCATCTCCTTAGTGAGCTGAGTGTTCTACAAAGGCAAAATAAATCTATTCTCAATCGTTGTAATAAGTTTCTGTGCTCACAGCAAAAATTCAGGAAAAAAGCAATCAGCCCTGGCACGACCTGCTCAGAACCACACAGAAAAGCCAGAGGGCGAGTTAACACGGGAGGGATGGGTGGGGACGCTGTGCGTCACGCGTCACGTGCTCCCATCGCATACACGATGCCCAGCCCTTGGAAAGACCAGAAAGCATCTTGGGTGCAATGAAACAAACTGATTTACTGCATAACATACAAAAATAGATGACAGAGCCCTCCTTACCCCTAGCTCTCCAAAATGAGATTTTTAGTAAACTATTAAATAAAAAGCATTTTCACATATTGAGCATCAATAATTACCTACCTTTTAACGCCTTGGGGCTCGAAAGACACATTTTCGAGTGAAGTGCGTGGTGCTGCGAAGGTTTAAAACCTTGTCAAGCATTTCTGCAATGGTACAAAAGCCCCACCCCTTTCCCCCACCTCTCCCTAGCTCCAGGAAAGAAGATGGGAGATTCAGGACCTTGGATGGAAGAAATTCGGCGAACTCCCAGGAGGGAGAAGCGATCCCCAGGAGAGTAGACCTCACCTCCTGCAAAACCCTCCCAAGTATCTCTGCATCACTATCTGCTTATTTCTGCACGTTTGCATGACAATTACGGGTAGGAAGATCTCGATGACGAGGTGTACAACTCACCTGCAGCCCTGAGCTCTCTCCGCGGCTGAAAAGAGAAAAGCCGAGAGCCAGCTGCGGGAAACCTGCGTACCTGGAGTTGGGAAACCGAGCCCGCCGCCAGCACCTTCCGACTCTGCGCGCTGGACTCCAGCACTGGGCGGGGCCGCTGGTTCCCAGAGGCCCTCGCCGCGCGCATGCGCTGCACTCCTTCCTCCGCCGCTCGGCTCTACCCAGCCCACGCCCGCCCTGCGCAGCTGGGGAGCCTAGAACCACCCGTAACACCGACAGCGCCGGCGCAGTAGCATCCCAGGCGGAGGCCGCATCTGGCCACTGGCTTCCGCGGCTGGCCTTCTGGCCGTGACTGGGGTCTGCCGCCTCCTGCCGGGTGGAGCGGAACTGACAAGCATTCGCAAGGAGTGGCTGGTTGTACCAGGGATTCCCGAAGGCAAAAGATTTTTAACCGTGAATAAGTTTCTTCATCATTCAAGGGACATTTGTGGGACTCCTCCAGCAACCCAGGCCTTTTACGTACTCTCCAGAAGATTGTCCCCGTTTTCATCGGAGGGAGCTAAGGTTCACAGAGAAGAAGGGATTCCGTTTTCTACAGGCTCAGCTCCTAAGTGGGGTGCAACGTTTAGAACCAGAGTTTGGTTTCAAAGCTCGAGCACCCTTCATTACATCGCACTATCTACACGGTCATCTAGATGTGGTGGGGAGACCAGGATCCTGGTTTTATACTGCAAGCCCAGGATTTGCTGGGCTTAAGTACCTGAAGGGAATGGTATGGAGTGCCAAAATTGGAAGGCACTCCAAATCCTGTCTAGCTCTAGGATAATCTGTCCCCAGGAATGAACCTTACATGAATTTGGAATCGTGCCTCCTGGCAACAACTTCTCATCTCACTCCTGCTTTGCCTTCTAGGCCACAGCCCATAACGCCAACTCTCCTCCTTAAATTATAGCCCTTCAGAGATTCCAAGAAGGCTGTCATCTAGGGATCATCAAGCAGCTCCAGGGGTGCCTTCGGGCTGGAAAAAATCGAATTTTTTAAAAATCTAAGAATATACATTATATATTGTGAAATGTTTGCTGAATCGATTCCTTGTGCTTAAAAGTGCTTCAGGGAAGCAATGTGACTATATCTAACTTAGGAGACACCTAAATTGGGCCTAGGGAGCTAACAGGATTCTGGAAGATTCCCAGGAGAGTTGATGACAGGCACTGGGATGTAGATGGAGGAAGTGGTACCCAGGAGTTTGGCCCCAGGCTCTTCCACCTCACCTTCTCATCCCTTTCTATGGCCATCCTTACCCCAGCGCAAGCCCTCTCTCACTTTGCTACTCTCTCACTCTTTCCATATTCCTAGGACACTTTTCCTATTCAGAATAAAACCAAAACCCCCTCCTGGAATGCCTCTGTATCTTCAGTATGGTGTGCTGGCCCCGCCACCCTCCCAAGTATATAACTCCCCCTCGACCCTACTGCCTGGATTTATAAGATGCTGCTCAGACTAGATGCTCTCTGAGATCCCTTCTACTCCATATGAGAAAGTATCAGAAGCTGGAGGTAACCCCATGATATTCCTACTCAAGGCATTTTTCACCTAAACCTAAAAGAACAACGTGAACAACATGTGGGAACAGGAAGGTTCTTAGGCAAAGGGGCCACTGACCTCGCTCAACTTCCACACCACCAGCTGCCACTTGCTGCAGCGAATGGTCAAGTCAGAGCACAAGGTGAGGGTGCAGCAAAGCTATTCACCGCTACCTCTTTGTAAAGCTATCTGTTCGTTATCCACAGCAGATTCTTAATTTCCAATCTGCTGTCAACCCTTTCGCAGGCTGGAGAAATATATAAGATAGAATACATAAGATTATCTGCCAAGGAGGGCAATTTTATTGAAATAAAGTTATTGAAGTATTAAACAGTTAAATCTGTGATGTAAGATGTGCTTCTTTATTAAATTACGAGATCTTTGAGTTTACTAATTTCCATAATTTCCAAGTAGTGTGGTGCACATAAACAATACTTTGAGGTGTCCGTAGCATGTGAATATCTGTGGTTCCTGGGGATGACAGAGTCACAGGTACCAGTACTGCTGTGGTTTGCTACCTGTTTTCCTAATGGGAAGAAATGCTAAATTTCAGTTAGAGGTTAGTGAACACAGAACCTTCTTTCTCCTATCCAAGTTCTCAGAAATCCCGATTTCCATCCTCAGGCCCCTTTGGTTTTTCAGAACTCCCCATCTCTAGTAATGCAGATTTTCCTAAGTTGTATTTGGTGGACTTGGAGAGAGACAGAGCAAGGTTGAGTGCCTGACTGGCGGCAGGGCTGCTCAGGCAGGACCTCCCAGAACGTTTAGACCTCAGTGATGGCTCTGTGGTCCTGAGCCTGATTCTCATTTTCAAATGTTCAGAAACTCAGTTTGTTTCCCAGGGGCACCCTGGCTTTGGGAGACTGATTTATAAATGCCAGTCAAAGGGACTTCTTGATTTTTAAAAAACAACAAAGCCTGCTTCAGGTCCTTGATTCTTCTTCCAGACCCACATGGTTACTTATCATTTAGGCCTCTCTCTGCTCATCAGTAAAAGAAATTTGGAACAAGCATCTCAATACATGTATATGGTCTATTCCTAAATTAGACACACCTTGCTCTCCGCCACCTACCTTCTCCGCTAGGCGGCTTGGCGACGGCGGCCAAGGCCACCCAGCGACTCCCTCCAGCTCCCTAGTCCCCACTGGCGCCCCACTCGCTCTGGCCCGGTCCGTCTGCTCAGTCTCGCCTCCAGGGGCAGCCCCATACCGGTTGTCGGTTGCTCGCTGTCACCTGCTTCTGACGCTCGGGTCACAACTGGCTGTTGCCTCCCCGCCAAGGGTGCTGCGCAGCCCGCTAGGAACTACTGGTCCCTGTCCCGCCCCGACTGTCCTTCCACGGGTGAGGAGGGCTGACCTTTTAAAGGGTCCAACTCGGGAGGAGGCGGACCCACCACTCCCAAGCCTCATTCTCATTGGCTGGACTCGCCTGACACTCAGCCGTGCGCCAGCGTCCCATTGGTCCAGACGGCGCGCTTTCTTAATTCAGGAATCGAGCGTCTTCGAAGGCGACGGAGCCTGGCCGCTTCGGAGGGTCTCCAGGCCCCTACCCCGCGGAGGTTTCTTTCCTCTGCAGAGGTTTCCTCCCGCCGGTGCCCCGCGCGCCAGTCTCAGGCTTCACCGAACCGACAAAGAGCCAAGAGTCAGATAAAACCAGTACAAATCCCCAAATCAAGGAAAGCAAAGGTAAATGAGAAAAGCATGAGTAAGAGGCCTTTTATTTTCCGTTGGCAAAGCAAACAACTGAATTGCAAGGGGGTGAATTCAAGAAAAGCTAAAACGAGAAACTGACTCCAATTTTGAGATATTTATACCCATTTCTCTTTTGACCTAAGTAAGCGGCAGTTCAGGGACACTGCAGCAAGCTTTCCGGATCTGACGGTCTTTGCTGTGAGGAGGCGGCAGGGGGCACTGGATGCCCCGGTTTCGTCGGGTAGGCAGGGCGTTCAAACCTTGTCAGAGTCGTTTTCAGACACCAGCTAGTTTGCTCTTAGAAAACAGGGCAGTGGTCTCCGTAAAGAACGTCCGCAAAAGGGAATGACTTAAGCACTACAACCTGTTGACTAAGGAGCCCAGTCCTGCAGTACTGGGGAGGGGGAGGTCGGTTACAGGACACAAGGGGGAATTTGGAGGTGGGCTCTGACCTTAGCTTGCCAACTGGGCTCTCATTTTGAACTTTTGCGGAGGACACGGGACTTTCCGTGCTCAAACCTGGACTGAGGGGTTTCCTGGGATTCGGGACTTTCTTATAAACGATAATGATAACTAATATTTGATGAGTATTGTGGGCCAGCCGCCTTCTAAGCATTTAATCTTCCCAGTAACCCTCTGAGTTCGATACTATGTCATCCCCATTTTACAGAGAAGGAAACTGAGGCACCTTGCCAGAGGTCATACAAACAGCTGGGACGGGTTAGATCCAGGTTAAAGAAGAGAGTGTGCAGGCCGTCATTCTGCCTGGGTTCCAGTGCATATTTTACTAATACGGGAAAGCACATAACATTATCACTGGCACACAGGAGATACTCAATAGTGTTTGCTATTATTATTAAAACAGTGGTCCTTGCTCTCTAAGAGTTGGAAATCTACTTTAAGAGGTTGATAGGGGGAGGGAATAGCTCAGTGACAGAGCGTGTGCTTAGCATGCATGAGGTCCTGGGTTCAATCCCCAGTGCCTCCACTAAAAATATAAGTGAATAAGCATAATCCCCCCCAAGAAATAAATTTAAAAAAATTTTTTTAAAAAGAGGTTGATAAGATTCATAAGGCAGTGGAGATGCCTATATAATGGGTGAATGGGACAGAGAAGAGGTGCATAGAGGTGTTCTGAGGAAGGAACAGCTGTGGAACAGAGTGGTCAGGTCTGGGTCACAAGTCACTCAGTGTGACATCTGCTTACATGTGGAACCTGCATGTCACCACTAGAAGGTAGCCTTAGACCCTGAATGGCTTGAGTAACTCATTCCATTCTTTCTTTGATTATTATGTGGGTGTGCATGTTTAATTTAAAAATGTAGTCAACTTTTATTAGTCACTAAAATTTTCTTAAGGAATATATCTACTCTTTTAGCTGGAGGAAACATTTATTAATTTTTCAGAGAAAGCATTTATTAATTTCCAAACTAGTTGTCTGTTAGATACCATGTGGTCAGGCCATTCAGGATGGCTGTTGTCTTGCTCTGTATACATCCTCTGCTCAACCAGGCCCTGTTTCACGCACATAACTATACAGTCCTCTAAATGATAGGGCTTCTTTAGTCCCTGGTAACTGAGCCCACCTGACATCAATCCCCCCAATAAATGGTAGCCTCCTTCTCCCCCTGACCCTCTGTTGCAAAGATGGCTGCCACGTCCTGTCTGCTGCACATGGTGGGGTGTCACTCCAGGACCCTTTGTAGGATCTCCCTCTTCAGTAAATCACTGATGTCTCCATCGCTGTCTCCAGGCTCTTTCTTTGGTCTAGAGGCTGGACAAATCCAAGGTTTGCAGATGTCAAGCCCTGAGTTAGGATCAGGCTCTGAGAGTTAGAGACTGACTCTGGAGCTAGGGGGATGGGAAGGGATATGATAACAAACCTGAAGTCTGAGAGAGAGCCAGTGGGCAAGGAATCAGGAAAAACCACATCGCAGGCAGCACGAACGGCCTGAACAAAGATGGGGAAAGAGCTCCATGCCTTTTGAGACCCAAAGGGCAGGCTTGATTGGGGCTAGAGAATGGTGAACTAGAAGCAGAATAAATTGGTTCAGCAACAAGCTGTGTTCACAAAGAGCTGGGCTGAGTATGATTTCCTGCCTCCCTGTCTTCTGTTTAAATGGTCTGGACCCTGCAGCCTCCAGATGTTCCCGCATGGAAACTTTGCATTCTGGGGTGAGACGTTATCTTTGGGCGCAGCTTGCTTTCCCTTGGTTGTCCTTAACTGAGTTTAACGCTCTGCGTCTGTGTACGCTTCAATCCAGAAGCGCCTCTGTTTTGGATGAGATGACCCCTGATTCTTCTGTTTTTGCTTAGCAGTAGAAGAAAGGTAAGATGCATTTACATTCATTCACTAGCATGCTTGTCTGACCTCAACACCCCAAAGGTATCTCTTGGAGTGTAAAAATCAAACAGATGTGAGAAAGAGGACTTGAATTACAGAGTTAATCCATGTGTCTCCAGCTCTCTCTCTCTGAGCAAACAATCCTTAATACAATAAAAATGGCATCTTTGAGGAAAAGCAGATTATCTTGTCCGATAAGGCTGCCTTTTCCCATTATGTTAATGTTGCTCTGATAACACATTTTAAACAGTGTTTTTAATTTAAAAGGAAAAGTCCCAAGGGAAGGCTTAGGCTGAAAAACAGGGCAGGATAATACTTAGAAACATGCAATGGAGAAAGATTCTGAAAATCCTCTCAGCAGTGCAGGGGGACTCATTGTAAAGGTAACATTGGGTCCCAGTTTAAAGAAAGGAGAGATTCAGTCCCTTTCTCCTGTCTTCTTATAGTTCAGTCTAAAGGTAATTGTTAGAGCAAGTTTAAGTGATCTCTGCAACAAATTTCTTGGAAAGAAGGGTGGTGAATAGTAAAGATTGCTGAAATTCAAACCAGGTGTGGATGGAGTGTTACTTGTAAAATGGAACCACGCACACCTGTAAAACCTGTAAAACCTTGGGCAGGCTCTGGAAGATCTAGCAGCATTTGTATGACTTACCTTCTCAGACTGGATTTAATAAAGATTATTGGGATGAAGATGAATAAGAAGAAATTGAACTATTTAGGAAATAAATTTTTTAAAATTTTGTCAATTATTCCAATTAGCAAAGTGGTTACAATGCTGGCTTTAAGGCTGGAGTTTTCAATTCATGAAGCTTCAAGGCTAGGAGCCTGCCAGGTGAATAAGGAACAGTCAGGGCTTCTCCCTCAAATTGACGGACTGTGGCCAAGATATAATAGGATGCTTCTGTGTCATTCTCTTTTGCAAAGATGTCTCTACAGACAGAACTTTAGGAAAGCTGGTTTTTGGGTTTTTTTTTTTTTCCATTCCTCTTCTTAAATTGTCTCCTTGGAAGCTTCTGAGATGCTTTCTTCGGTGGTCCCCAAATGTGCTTCCCATTTGAATCACCTGAGTATCTTTAAAACCTACCGATGTCTGGTCCCTGCCTCCCAATATTGTAATTTACCAAGTATGGGTCACAACCCAGGCTTGGAGAGTGGTTTTGTTCATCTTTTTATACTGAGAAAATTATAGATTCACACGTGGTTGTAATAAATAATACAGAGAGAGTCTTACACTCTTTACTCAGTTTACCCCCATGGTAACATCTTCCAAAGATGTAATAGAATATTATTGACATGGATACATTCAAGATCCACAACATCTCCATCACCACCAGGATCCTGCCCTCTTGCTTGCCTTTTACAACCACTCCAGCCTCCCCACCCCCTCTTAACCTCTTGGTAACCACTGATCTGTTCTCCATTTCTGTAATTTTGTCATTTGAAGAATACGATGTTAAAAAAGAAAAAAGAATACAATGTAAATGTAATCCTATGACATGTAACATTTGGGGAGTAGAAGTAACTTTTCTGTTTTTTCACCCAGCGCAATTCTCTGGAGAGTCATCCAGGCTTGTTGAAGGTGTCAGTATTTAGTTCCTTTTTATTGCTGAGTCACTACTGCATGGTATGGATGGACCACAGTTTGCTTAACCATCTGGGTTGTTTTCTGGTCTTGACTATTAGGAATAAACTGCTGTAAACAAGAATGCAAGTATTCTTGTGTGAACCAACATACTCATTTCTCTGAGATAAATGTGCGGGGATGGAATTGGTGGGTATACGTTAGTGCATTTAGTTTTTAAAGAAAATGCAGAACTATTTTCCAGAGCGGCTGTACCATTTTACATTCCTAACAGCAAAGTATGAGTGGTCCAGTTCCTCTATATCCTTGCTAACATTTGCTGTTGTCACTCTTTTGTATTTTAGTGTAGTGGTATCACATTGTGGTTCCAACTGGCATTTGCCTCATGGCTAATGATGTTGAACACTTTTTCATGTTCTTGTTTGCCGCTGTTTGGTGAAGTGCTTATTCATGTCTTTTGCCCATTTTCTAGTTGGGTTATTTATTTTGACCAGATACATATTCCAGATACTTCTTGGTGATTTGCAGGTGTTTTCTCCCACTCTGTATCTTGTTTCTTTATGTTTCCGGTAGAGTCTTTCCACAGAGCCAACGTTTTAAATGTTGATGCAGTCCAATTAATTATCTTTTAAGGATTGTGCGTGACATTATTCAAGGACTATTCAGCATTAGGCACTAAACAGACACTGCATCAAAGAAGACAGAATCCCTCATGACAAAAAGCTTTCATGTTAAAACTTTCCATCCAGATGAAGATGTTCCCTTCTGTTTTCTCATTTAAAAGTGTTGACTTTTAAAAGATGTTTATGGTTTCTGAGAAACTCCATGAACTCCCAAAGATGTGAACTAGGAGACTACTATTCCTTACTAGATCTTATCCTTGACTTATAGACAAGCTTCTTTCAAAGAAAGCTCTTTACTCATGGGCATATGGAGTTGATGATCTCTGGACCGTCACACACAGGCCATACAACGTCATCAAATAAATGGTTCATTGTATGAAGAAAAAAAGAACTGTTGTCATGATGGAAAGAAGTCAGGAAAGGGCTCAGATGCCCCAAATGGAAT